TCGTTAATGCCACGTTTATCAAGAGAAAACAAATTTTTTTTGACTTTTCCGGGAGAATTTGTTGACGTTTTGTATTTTTACTCTGTGGAAAAAAAAGTTTCCAAACTCTCTTACACACACACATATTAATTAAACGAAACGATAATAATAATGATAATGATAATGATGGGGAAACAAAAATTCGCAAAAAAAAAAAAAAAATTTTGTCGTGTAACTAATAAAAAAATACACACACACAGGGTGTGGCTTTTAAGAATTCCAAAAAAATTTTTTTTTTTTTAGAAATGAATTATTTATATGAGAGGAAAATTAATTACGTTAAAAGTTTAAGTTTTCCTTTTTTTTTTGTAACTAATGAGAGAGAGAGAGAAAGAGAGAGAGAAAGAAAGAAAGAAAGAAAGAAAGAAAGAGAGAGAGAGAGATAGAGAGAAAGAAAATCTTTAGTTTTTTTAGACGTTATAGTATTAAAATTACAAAATTTTTTTTTAAAATTATTATTATGATTATTATTATTATTATTATTACATTTTGTTTTTATTATTAAAAAATCAGTTTTTAAAAATTGATCGTTTTTTTTTTTTTAACGAATTTTCGGTTAAAAATAAATTTAAATTAATAAAAAGAAAAGAAAGAAAAGGAAAAAGGGAAGGAAAAGAAAAAAGAAAAATTCGATTCGTACGAGACGTAAAAATGATGAAATTTATTTATTTATTTATTTTTTTTATTAAATTTGTCGCAATTCCATGGAAAAAAAGAAAAATTTTCTTTTTCGAAATAAAATAAAGAAAAGCCGACAAAAGGAAAAGTAAAAATAATAAAAAAAAAATTTTCCTTTTTTTTTTTTTTTTTTTAAACCGAAAATGATGAAGTAATTGAATAAACGTTTTAAATTCTGGAAAATTTTTTTTTACTTTATTTATTTTTTGTTTCGTTAATTTCGACAATTTTTCCTTTTTAAAAAATAAAATGTCGAATCGCTTCAATTTTTGTCTTTTTGGAAAGAGAGGGAAAGAGAGAGAGAGAGAGAGAGAGAAAAGGAGAAATGTATTTAATAAACGTATTTTATTTAAGTAAATGTGACGTAATAATAAAAAAAGTAAAAATAAATATGGCGGCGTTGTAAAAGCAGACGATGATGACGTCGTTTAAAAGAAAAAAAATGGCGGAAAGTGTTTGACGTTAGAAACGGTTATGAAAAAAAAAAAATTATTCGGAAATCGGAAACGGATTAATATACAAACCGGAAATGATTTCTAAAAATTTTTTTTTGTTTTTAATTAGTGACCTTTCGTAATTTTTATTTTCGTGTGTGTGACGTCATTTGTAAAAATGTCGGAATAATAGGATGTTGTTAAATCATAAAAAAAAAATTATAACGAATGAGCTAGAAAAAGAGTTTTTTATTATTGTTGTTTGTTGTTGTTGTTGTTGTTGCTGTTTTTGGTTGTTAATAATTTTCACACGTTTTTCTTTCTTTCCTTTTTTTCACGTCGTCGTTTTCACTTTTTTTTTCTTTATTTTACCCAACCCCACGACCACCGACACCATTTTCTTCTTTTCCGAAAGAATGAAAAAAAAAAAAAAATTTTCCTTTTTAGAAAAAAAAAAAAAAAAGAAAAATGTAAAATTTTCTCGATAAATTTATCTTGAATTACACCTGAGGACGCTTAAAAGAAAAAAAAAAAAATAATAATAATAATAATTTTTATTTGTGCTTTTTTTTTATATTTTAACTTCCGCCATTTTGTTTTTTTTTTTGTTTTTCGTTTTTTTTTATTTATTTATTTATTTTTTTTTGTGCATTAATATATTTTAATAATTTAATATTCGAATAATAATAATAATAATAATAATAATAAGAGGATAAAATAAGGTGTAAAATATCAAAAAAAAAAAAAAAAAAAAAGAGGAAAATTCAGGTTCCAAATATTATTTTTTTAGAATTAAAGTTTTACATATAACCTTTGACCTTTAAAATTTTCCTTTTTTTTTTTTTATTTAAAGCGTGAAAAAGGATTCGATTATTATTATTATTTATTTTGTTTTTTATTTTTTATTTTAAAGTTGGAACGTCTTCTCCATGTGTAAAATTTTTTTTTTTTTTATGTTGGTACAAAAGGAAAATTCATTCAATTGAAAAATGATAATCAAAAAATAATGTTCTTTGGTTTCAGTGAAACAAGGTAAAGAAGAAAACCTTTTTTTTTTTTTTTTTTTTTTTTTTTTTCATTTCCTTTAACGAGCAAAGCAAACAACAACAACAACAATAACAAACGAATATGAAAAATAGGCTTTTTGAAAAGAAAGAAAAAAAAGAGGAAAAACTGACAAACGTTAAAAGAGAAGCAAAAAGAGATTTTATTTTTTGAGGAGAGGAAGAGGAAAAAGAGAAAAAAGAGGTAAAAGAAAATTTATTATTATTATTATTATTATTTTTTATCTGAAGGGAAAATGCCCTTCTTTCATTTTCTTTCCCCCCTTTCCCTTCTCCCCTCTCCTTTCGATATTTCTGATAATTGGAAAATGTCAAAAAGTGTCAATTTTTTTTTTCAAACTGTGTGACATTTTAACAATTATTTTCTTGCATTTTATCTTTTTCTTCTTTTTCTTTTTCTTCTTTTTCTTCTTCTTCTTTCTAACACTAACGGTTTTCTCGTTTTTCTTTTCATTTAGAAAAAAAAAAAAAGACAAACAAAATCACGGGTCATCGGTCAAAACCAAAAAAAAGAAAAAATTTTTTTAAAAAAAAAAAAAAATTCAACATTTATTTTAATCGTATGGCATGTTATCTCCTGCCACGTTTTTTTTTTTTTTTTTTTCCTCGGTATTAAAAAACCATAAATTGTTATTTCCAATATCAATTTATAAAATTAAATTATAAATTGAAAACTTAAAATTTTTTTAGGAGACAAATGAGAAAAAGAAAAATACAAAGAGATACGGAAAAAAAAAAAAAAGGTCAAAGGAAACGGGGAGCCGGGGAGAGGGAAGGAGGGAAGGGTGAAGCTGTACGAAAAACTGGGAGGGGAGAAGAATAAATCTGGGTGAATGGGAAAATAAATTTTTTTTTTACTTTTTCCAGGAAAAAATTTTGTATCTTTTAAATTAAAAAAAAACCTTTTGCTAGGTTCGGTTTTTTTAATAATTTGATTTTTTTTTTTTCGGGGGAAGGGGGATGTCCCGGTTGGTGAACTCCCTAAAAAAAAAAAACTCCCCCGGTGTGGCTTATTATTATTATTGTTTTATTTTTTACAAAAATTTAAATATTTTAAAATCATGGAGGGATGAGAAAATTATTTTTAAAAAAAAGGAAAAAAGAAAAATTTTCCATAAAATTTTTATTTATTTATTCGCACACGAATAAAAAATGGCGGAAGGAGGAGGGAGGGGGCAAACAGTGGCAAATCACTTATGACACTTATTATTATTATTATTTTCTAACGGTTAATATTATTAAATAATAATAATATTTTATTACGAGTCAAGTTAAAATGACGTAACTTAGCAGACGTTTAAAATTGTTTTAAATTACAATAAATTTTTATTTATTTATTTATTTTTTTGTAAAAATTTCAACCTGGAAAAAAGAAAATTAAATTTTCTTTCTTTTTTTTTTTTTTTTATTATTAGTTTTATAGTAAATAAAAATTTAATTATTCCACGACGGACATTTCTTTTTTTTTTTTTTTAAATATGGCCGACATTTTCCGTTTTGTTTTTTTTTCTCTCAAAATATTATTATTTTAATTTAAAAAATAAAGGGTTTAAAATTTAATTTATTTTTTCTAATAACGTTAAATTTTCCTTTTTTAAAAAAGGAAAAAAAAAAATCGAATTATCGATATCTTTATTTTCCTTTTTTTTTAAAAAAAAAAATGGCGGATTTGTTTTCGTTTAACGGTTTTTACGTTCGAAAACGGTTAATTATATTATTTAAAGATCATAGTTGAATTTTTTTTTGTTTATTTACTCTGTGATTTGATTAAATTTATATTTTACTGTTTTTTTACTATATAATATTAAATAAAGCAAGTAAATTTATCGTTGTAAAGAGTAAATAAGGAAAAAAGGAAAGAAGGAAATTTTTTTCTAGAAACATTTTTTTTTTTTTTTTTTTTTTTTTCATTTTGTTTTGTTTTAACCGTAACTCTGATATTTGTCACTTGTTTTGTCTTTTTTTTTTTTTTTTTTGTTGTTTTTACTTTCATTTCCCCGGGTTCATTTTAGTTTTTTTTTTTTTTTATTTTATTTTTCATTCTCCCCCCTGTTAGGTAAAATAATGAAGATATAGTGATTTTTTTTTCTTTTTCTTTTTTTTCCTCTTCTAAATTCGTTGAAAGGGTCAAAAGGTGAGAGAGATGTTTCTAAATAAACTAACTATTCGTTTTTATATATATTAGGGCGACATCTTTTTTATTTTTAAATAACTAAATTGTTAATCGAATTTCATCCATTTTGTAATATTTTTTTAACTTTCGTTATTATTCCGTCGGAATTCATTTAATTTTTTTATTCGTCTCGTAATGAGTTTAAAATTATTTGAGTAAATTCCGTAAAAATTTAAAAAAAAAAAAAAAACCGTTTGTTTTATTGTTTTATTTGGAATATTTGTGAAAAAATAAAATTTTAATTAGTTTCATAAAATTATGAGTAGATGTCGCTACTATTCACAATCGTAAGCGTTTTTCGCTTGAATTTATCTGCACGAAACTTTTTGAACTTTGGTTGTTTAGCTTGTCAACTGTTTCTTTTTTTTTTAAAACAATTTACCGCCAATTAAAATCATTCCGAATTATTATTCATGAAAAAAAAGTGATAAAGGTAATTATTAATTGTTTAAATCAAATTAAATCGTAAATCATTAATTAAAAATAATAATAATAATTTTGTTAATGTAATGCCGACTTTGACCAGTTACGGTTAGATTTTGAATTTTTTTTGTAAAAATTGAGTTTGCTTTTAATTGTTTTTTTATTATTTTATTTTTTAATGATTTTTAGATGATGCTACCGCCAGATCCTATTTACATTTTCAAAGGAGAAATGAATTCATTATCATGCGTATCTTACAAAGTTAATCAGGAAAGTGAAAATATTTATGTCGGAACTCAAACTGGAAAAGTTCACGTTTGGGATCTCGAGGTTGCTTAGCACATAAAATTTATTTTAAAATACCTTTTTTATTAATACACGAACCCATTTCATATTTGTTTTTTTATAATGTAATAATGTATCAATTAGTTTGTGAAGATTTATCAGGGTTCATAAACATTTTCCATTTTCCTGTTTTTCAATAGATATCACATTGCAGGTCATTCGATCAAACTAATTAATTTTATTTATTTTGCAGTCCAAAAGGGAAATTGGATATTTTACCTCGGGTGATGATGTCTGTCTCTCGATTATAATTCCTGAAAAAGAAAACGATTGCATAATAACTCAAAATAAATCTGGAAAAATTTGTTTTTGGAAAGAGGAAAATAATAATAAATGGACCATGACATGTGAAATATCGACTGATTTTTTCGGTTTTTGTAAATGTTTTTTACATGACGATGTTTTATACACATCATTAAAAGACTGCAGTTGTCAAGAAATATGTATAAAAACAAAAGAAACTATTAAAAAATACAAATTGAAAAGTGATGATGGTAAAAATTTAGGTGAAATAATGGCATTAAAAGTTTTTTCTAATAATGATAATAAGTTATTCATGTTAGTCGCTTACGAGGGAAATCAATTGAGTTTATGGTCATTAGATGATTTGAATGAGATGAGTAATTTAAATTTATCTGCTTGCCCAATGGCGATAGATTTCGATGTGAAAACGAATAAAGGGATTTGTGGGAATCCGACAAATGAATTCATCATATTTTCAATTGATAATAATAATAATGATTTAAAATTGAAAATTGTAAGAAGTGTCAAGTTGGTCAATGAAGGCGTTGCATCAGTTCGAATAAGGCCGGATAGTAAATTAGTTGCTGTCGGTTGTTGGGACGGCAAGTTGAAATTATATTCTTGGAAAAGTTTAGTTCTCTTAGCAGTGTTGGATCCTCACGTATTAACGCTTCAGGATATTTGTTACATAAGGACAAAAACGGATAATGAAAAAATTAAATACTTGATGGCGGCTGCATCGAAAGACTCGACCGTGTCACTTTGGGATATTTACAATTGACTAATGATGTATAGGTATTTTTTATTAAATTATAAAAAAAAAAAAAAAATTGATTCATCATTTTCCTACAGTTTCCGTTTGGACATGCTTTAAAGTAATTTCATGGAACCATGTCACATTCTTTATTTCATCCTACTTTTTTAAGTAATAAGAAGAAATTGAAAGTGAGAAGGTCATTTACGTTCGATATTCAAGAAAAAAAAAAAACAAGATCTTTCATAAAAAATTATTTATTATTAAACAATTGTTGCAACAATTACCAAAAAAACAAAAAACTATTTCAAATCAATAGGAATGAAATTTAATGTAAGTTTAAATAATGCTTAGCGCGACATCTGTCGAAATTTTTAATAATTTCAATTGTTTTGATTACGTGTATTGCCTAATTTAATAAATTAAGGCGCAACTGAAATTTTTTATATTATTATGTAATAAAATGTTTAACAAAAAGTTTTTTTTTTTTTTTTTGTAGTTTCATAATGAATTCAATTCGATATAATAATAATAATAATAATGAAGAGGTAAAAAAAATAAATAAAACGTTAGATTTTGAAAAATAACATTCCAACGCATGAAAACACATCTCTCCAGGAGAAAAAAAAGATGAAGGTAAATTTAATTAGTATATAACATTCGATATGTAAAATAATTTTTAAAAAATCTTCTTTGGGTCTTTTGTTACAAAATGATTAACTATCTTTTTAAGTTTCCGCCTATACGACCTCCGTTTTCGCCACCCTTTTCTTGTCCATGTCTTGAGCACGCGCCAAAAAAAAAAAAATTTTTTTTTGTTTCTTTAAAAAAAAAAAAAATTTCAAACTGCAAAAGCTCTCTCTCTCTCTCTCTCTCTCTCTCTCTCTCACCTTTTTCATTTTATTTTCTTCTAACGGTTTTTCTTACGGGAAAATTTTATTATTGAATAAGAGGTTATAAACGAGAAAGGGTTTTTCTCTCCTCTTCCTCTGAAAATCTGTTTCTGGTTCTTATGTTTTCAAAATGGTTCTTTTATTTTGTTTTATAATTAAATCGGACGTCGGACAAGGAGAGGGCGGTGCCTTTTAAAAATAAGAATTAAATCATTTTCATTTATCTGTTGTTATCTCTAATCCGGAATTTTCCAAACCGGAAACGAAAATATACTCCCCCAAAAAAAAAAAAAAAAAAAATTTATTATTTTCACGTTCACGTGAATAAATTCGAGTTTAAATAAAGTTTAGCGAATGATAAATTCTATTAAACAATAAATTGTTAATTAAATATATATATATATTATTTTAAATAATTAATAATAATAATAATATTTTATCCAATAAAAAAAAAAAAAAAAGAAAAAATTGGAAAAAATATTTGAATGCTTAATAATAATATATCACACAAATATTTAAGAATTAAACATTGATTTTTGTTGTTGTTGTCACCGGTTAATAATTTATTTATTTATTTATTTATTTATTCAGGTACAATTTTCCGAGAATTTTCTTCGTCTTGTTCCGTCGTAGTTTCCGGTACGCGAAATTCCGATGGTCTTTTCCGTTTTCTCAATGGCCGTGGAATAATCGCTTCGGGTTCGCTATCAGGTACTGTTTCCTGTGAAGTCTTTGAATCATCATTTTTTTTAACTGGTTCCTCCTCGTTGTCTTCGCCTTCTTTTTTTAATTTTTTCAAGGGGAAAAGTGGGATTGGAATAGGGATGGGTAATGGAATAGGTATGGCTAATGCTACGGGATAAGGTACTAAAACGGTGACTGGAGGTAGAAGAGATCTGGGGGGTGGAAGTAATGGATTTCTAATCGGTTTATTTATCACAGTTGGACCGGATGGACTGGGTGGCGAGATCAAAGGAGGCCGATGGTGGATTTGTCCTCCGGGCCTTTGAAAATTTCTTGGGCCCGTAGGAGGAGGAGGAGGCGGCGGCGGTGGTGGTGGTGGAGGCGGAGGAAAACAACCGAGGGGTAGGAATGGGGGTTTTAGTAAACCGTGATCGGGTGGCATACCGTTGTGCGGAGGTGGAGGAGGAGCAGGATGAGGAGGATGCATGGTTGGCAAAGACGTGCCGTTTAATGGGAAAAATGACGGAGGAAAAATATTTGGTTTGGGGGGTGTTAGATTTTCTCTATTACGAGGTGACAACGAAGACCCCCGTCGCTCGTTGTTTCCCGACCCATATCGACCCTGTCTTTTACTCTTACTTAAAATACTACCGGTTTTTCGTGATTTCTCACGATGCGTTCCCCTCTCTTTCCTATCGACTTTTGTTATTTCTAACGTGGAAGGAGTGAGTGACGGCGGCGGAGAAGGTTTAACCGTTAATTGTGAATTTTCATTCGGAGGTCTCATGACTACTTTTATTTCTATAGGTGATGATGATGAATTGTTGTTGTCTTGCGGGGATAACGAACGATCCGAAATCGGTGATTCCGATCTACAATCTCTAAGCCATAATTCCGGAGTTATCAGTCGAACGGATGCATTTCCCTTACCGTTGCTACCCCCGCTCGATCCTAAACCTTGAAGATGAGGATGAAGTTGAAGGTGAGCTTCCGTTTCCTTGCAAAAAATATTCATTTTATATTGATTTAAACATTTGTCACTGGAACAAAAAACAAATCAAAATTTATATTTAATTCACTTTTTTTTTTTTTTTTTTTTCGATCAGTTGAATTTAAATTCAAACCTGCAAAATTGCAATTGATGTTCGCCATCTTGAAAATCTACGTAATTAACGGTGTGACGAATGTGTCTGCACCAATCGCAAGTTTTATTCCTTTTGAAATTAGCTCTTCGACATTGTGAAAAACACATTTCTGAACAAAATGATTTTTCACCGACGGGAGTTTTCATTGAAAACATTTTATGTGATACCATTTTATTACACCACGAACATATTATGTGACCGGGAGAAGTAACCGTCGAATCTAAAAAATTTATTAAAAACAAAAAAAAAAAAAAAAATTCAGGATTTCCATCGCCGCAGCATCTCACAGGGTAAGATAAAAAAAATTTTTTTTTTTCTTTCTCTTTCTCTTCTCTTCTCCTTCATTTTAATTTTTCATCATAACATGTTATGAAACGTGAAAAAAAAAAAAAAAAAAAAAAAAAGAAAAAAAATTGTAGGAGGGAGTAAATTAAAACCAATTTATTTTGTGAAACGATGAGAAGAGTTTTCTTATCCAGGAAACTAAAATATAATAATAATATTAACATTAATAATTCCAGGAGCGAATTTTTTTTTTTTTTTATTAATAAAAAAGAAAACAAATAATGAAGTAATTCGAGTCGACTAATATTTTCAGCCATCATTAGACATTAAAAATTAATTTTTGTTTTTAAATAAAAAAAAAAATAAAATAAAATAAAATGTAAAAAGAGAAAGATTTAACGTAACGGATATAATTTTTCATTTTTTTTTTTTTTAAACCGGAAGTCGAGAAAGAGAGAGAGAGAGGGCGTAAGAGAAAAGAAAGATGAAGGAAAAGAGAGAGAAAAAAAAAAAGGAAAAAAAATTAAAAAAATTTTCCAAAGGAAAAAAATTATCTATCATATAATTTATCCGACAATTAATTTACTCTCTATTTTTTTTTGTGGGGAGGGGAGGGAAGGGGATTTTGTTTTCTCAATCAATTCTATAAAATATTAAATTCGTTAATTATATTTTGTCGGAAAATTTTTTTTCTTTTCCTTTTTTTTTTTTATCGTACACGTAAATAAAAATTTTCCTTTTTTTTAATGATGAGTAAGCATCGAATTTTTTTTTTGTTAAATTTCTATTGAATCGTTTTAATTCGTCTGGTTTTCGTTAAAAAAAAAAATTTTTTTTAAATATTTATTAAAAATAAATAAATAAATAAGAAATTTTGATAATAATAATAATAATAATAATAATAATTAAATTTTATTATTTTTTATTTTAGGCGATGGACGCAGTAAGAAAAAAAAAAGAAAAACGTTCGTCGTATTTTCCGATCGTAATGGAAACGATAATGATAACGGATTGAAAACTACGCACATATATAAAATTTCCTTTGATTTTTTTAAAAAGGAAAATTGTTTTCCACAAAAGTACGATACGACTCCAACACGTAAGTTTATATTTATTTATTTATTTATTTTTTTTTTTCGTGATGGACCCATTGAGAAAGGTAGGAAATAAGGGAGGAAAAGTCGTTAATCGTTTTAAATAATAATAATAATAATGGTAAAATTTCTGTAGGGTTAAAAAAGAAGGGGGGGCGGGGAGGAGAAGGGGGGAGAAAGAATCGGTGTAAGATTTCTCATATAAA